AAACAGAGGGGGGGAAAAGATTTTGTAGTTAGATGAGCAAATATATACGTTCTTTTTCTGTTTGTATATATAAAATAACTATTCAATTGCTGTATCCGTTTAAAGCCCAATATGTATGTGATCCATAACAGGAAAAATCTACCCTGCAATAATGCAGAAGAGATTCAGGTGAATAGTGTAGTTTCCCATTCTTTCACACACATATGTATTTAAATTCCTTTTAGGCCATGAAATCCCACTCAACTTCAAGCATGCATACATGCTGAGGTGCTGTCTTTTCAAATGAGAAATTTTACATACAGTTATGCAGACATTGTTCATGGGTTGTTATACAATACAGACAATAAAAATTATAAAAGTGCATGCTGTAGTTTTAGTTTAAAACACACTGATGACCTTTAGTAACACCTAACCTTATGCAGTTTATGAATTACTATGCTGCAACTGTTTACCTACACTAAAACATTGACCAAACTTCTCAGAATCTTCTAAGGCAGGGACACTTAAAATGTGTTAAGAACGTTATATAGGAAAAAAGCTAATTTATGAACCAATGGGCATTATCCAATATGGGAAGTCCCATCTAATGGTAAGTCAGAAAATAAGGAAGTCTTTTGCTGGATTTCTCAGCATGTTAAATCTTTTAACTGATATCTCTGAAGGACCACTCAGAAACTGGTTCTCAAGAGCCCTAAGAAAAAAGAAAGCCTCCTGAAACTTCCAGCTTTTTGTCTTGCACCACATCCTCTCTGAAGATTAAATCCTCAAATATTCATTTGCGACCTGATTTTGAAAAACAGGCTTATAATGCCTCATCATTGTGCTCTGTAACTCCAGACCAAAAGTAGAGAAAAAGTGGTTGGTACGAAACTTGCACTTTTCTTGTATTCTTTTTCTTTTGATAACATGCTAAGTTATTAATGCTGCACAATATACCCTGCATCCGAGATGTCTGAAGAGTCTTCTAGTCCTTTAAGAAGCTAACTGGTAAGGGGGTAAATTCAGCAAGATTCAATTGATTAACTAGTCAGCAATCAATTTATCTCCCCTTCCC